AGATGAGGTGGTTTTGATCCCTGTTGTTGCTTTAAGTTTGTAACACCCGGGGTTAGCCAAAACCATCCTACCTGCTTTGGCGCCATATGACTGGTGCCGATGCGCTTTTAAATAAATCATGCCTAACATGGAAGTTTATTTAAATGTTATCAACAAAAAAAATTATTTTGCATGACTTGCTGAATTTTTTACTTCATTTACTCAAAATAAGTATGATTCCGAAGACGAATGTCAGCATAAACTTGCTGTTTACAGACAATGCGTCGCATATTTAATGAACAAAATTAAATAGATTTTTAAAATGGAATGCTTTCATAAATATTTCATTCCTCAATGAAAACATCACGTTCTGCAAGAGTTCTAATGAATATATTTATTTTTGGGGATGGCCAGTTTTGTAATATAAAACTGCATTTTTCCCTTTCCTACTGCGTCGCAAAAGTTCTTGAATTTGACAATAAAGAATACGATAAATATTTAAAAGATCTGAATTGGAATAAATTATGTTATTAATAGTTAAACTGAAATCAAGATCTACAAAAATCGTTCTTTAGGAGCATGTCACTGTTTTTTCAATATTTTATTTATGATGGATGCATATCTTACAAATATTTACATTTATTTTAGATGGTGGCAGAGAAACAAACGTAATGTCGAATCGCCTACTGCGTTCTTGTGAAAATAAACATTCATTGACATAGTTTTTAATTCATGCACGATAGGTAAATAACACAGATACGTATTTGATATGTTTCTTTTTTGTGACGATTTAAATTTGTATTACACTTACTATTATAATTGTCTGCTTCAATAGAAAAACTTTCTATCGCACACAATATACACAGTATAAAAACCCGAGTTAATTGTTACAGGGCGGAGGAAAAGTGAAGTCCGACAGGAACTTGAATTCGTAACTCTTTGGAATATCTTTTTTTAAACCAGTAAAGCTTTCTTACTGAATACACAATTTTCCTAATTAATAAACAGTTTTATACTGTAATAGACAGCTTCAGAGAAAATAATGGTACTTTTACATACAGTCTATCAGTTAAATGGTGCATGTCTGTCTTTTTATCACAAAATGTTTGTAGAAGGATGTTTTTACAATTTTTGAAATTCAAACACAGGATAGAAATCACACATTACAATAAAGTCATTGCCAATATTGTATCAGCATAAATAGTTTTTTTCTCTCTCGTGAAACGTTATACCAATATTTAAAATGTGTGAAAAGGTTTCTTCATTCATCCTTTTTTACTTTATTTTAGTCAGAAGTTTTAAAAGACTTCCTTTGGAAATCACACTCTTATCTACTGTAGGGAATATAACTAGATTCAACGTCAAGTTATGCTTCCTGTGATTTTATAGGGAAATAGAAAGAAAAGGAAATAGGTTTGTTATGGAAGTTCCATTAAGAATATTCCCAGTAGATTACACAAACTGAGTCAAAGGAAAAAAGCTATTGTTCCTCGATACATTTTTTATGGCATTATGGAATCCGATAATTTGATTGTTGGATGTCTTACCGATATGCAAGACGACACATGAATTGGTTAATATAGAAGAAATATTGCATAAGCACAAGAATATGAGTATAGCTATTAAGGCAAATAGACTGGAGGTGAAAGCAAAACTATTTGCATGTAAACGAATAGAAATTATTTTAGCATTGAATGGTTGACCAGCAAATGTTGTCCCTCTTAAAATTATTTACACGCATGTCAGCCGAGCGTTTCACTAATATTCCGTAAGTTTAGCGTATCTTTTCACGTCAATTTGGACTTACGCAAAACGTAAAATTACGTAAGTTGTGTTTCACAAAACAGAACATGCAATTTGCGCCATCAATAAATAGCGTAACTTTACATTTAAACCTTTGCAAATGCGTTTCGAAGAAAGATTAGTGATACGCAAATGTATACGACTAAGTTCTGCTTACGCAAAAAGTTACGTCCGAACTCGAGTTACGATAACTTAAGTACGTTAGTGAAATGCACCCCTGGTTTTTTAGTTCTATGGAAACTCCAATAATGAAATATTTTATTGCAATATAAATAACATGTCAAGATCACACTACTTTAATTGTCTGTAATTTCCTACTTTCCGGTTCACAAGGTTAAGCCAAAGGCATGTCTCTATAGAATTCATAGTAGAATGTTTTTCTTAGTGGTCGAATACTCATAAAGCTACTGTTCTAAAGCTGTCAGAGGTCCACATTATTAGTCCTATTAACTCACAGTTATAATGTGTTTTTCTAAATGTACATGTCATAAGTAAAGACAGAAAAATATAAGATGACAGCAAACTTTGTTCTAATTATTACTATATAGGATATTACAATTGATTGGATGTATGTATCTACTATCTTTCAGGAAATATATAGTTACGTCACGTATTTAACTTCAATATTTGTTTCTTACAATAAAAAACAATACGCAACAACACATCGTGTAAGGTCGTATAAAAGGCAGCCGAATAATTAGAAATATTAGTGAACGCCCGACATACTAGTATGTCTTTTAATAATCTGTATAACAGCATTGATAATATATTCCTGCAGCTCCTGAAATGATTTCACATTCCTTGATATTACTTTCATGAAATAGAACATAACTCTGTGAAAAAATATTTCTAGTCCGTCATATCGAAAAACCTTAAAGAATTCCTATTCAAAAACGCTACATGAATAACATATTGCCTGTGAACTGTGCCCAAAATCGTTTGAAGCTTAAAGATTTGTTTCTTAAAACAATGTTGACTTTTTAACACATCTTAACCGAACTCGCCAATATTTCAAACGTGCCACTGGGCACTGGCCACATGGATTGAAGGAAGGCTAAAAGTTAATGCATTGTATGTAAACTAAGAGAAAACAATTAGAAACAGTACGAAAGTATATGATATATGTAAGAAACAGAAGCTAATGTATTATTTAGAAAAGAAAAGAGCAAGCAATATCATTAATGTAGAGACATATACAAGAACATTTTAATTTGCTTTTCAAGGTACAATGAATATTTTGTAAGACAATGCACACAATTAAAAGACATGTGCTATATATCTATGTGTTATTCTAAACGAAGCGGTATTTATAGTCATAACAAAGAAAATAAAGTGGGATAAAAAACTGATAAAAAGTGTTTTATCATCAAATTTGTTTTAAATAAAAGAAACAAGCACACAAGTTAGAAAGTAAAGTGCAATGTATACAGACCAAAAATTGTTTTGACTGTGGGATCGACGTTTTATACATTATTGGATGATTTTCATCATGGTCACATGCGCATTTTGCAGATTCCAGATATTTTCCGGATTCAAGTAAATTTTTGGTAAAAACGAAAACAAGCTAGAAACATAACATCATCTGCTAAAAATAGAAGCACTAATAGTATTATACACTAATTGCGATGAACTGTTATGTTATAATAACAGCTATATGATTGGTGTCTTGTATGGTAAGGATATAAGTGCCAGGTAAATATGAAAATAAAACGCGGTTAACATGCTAACTAGACTAAAAACTCAAGAAACATGCTCGAAGCATTAATTATTCTAAGAAATTTTGGCGAAATTCAATCTAAAGGGAAATTCTGAAACAGAAATAAAACAATTGTTTTTGTAACAAGTTTTTAGTGTGTCTATTTCGACAAAAAAAATGATTTAAAGAAACCGAACTGTTTTAGACGTAAACTATTGAAATTTTGGATATGTTCAAACCTGCAGAAGCAATGTAATGTTCTTGTGGGACAAGGAAAAAGGTCCTAATAAATACAAAACTTCACATGTGACTTGTATTAAATCCATTAGCAGCGACATGCTTTATATACTTAATACTTATACTTTCCTAATAATATTGACTTAATGAATTAAATAATCTGATTAATTTTGAACCTGTTTCGTTCAGAAATCGGTAAGACTAATAATATCTGTCATATTTTGCGGTTCGGATCGAAATATCCGTCCAGAGGTGACCCGCCCTTTGGGCGGTAATGAGGCTTGTCGAGTTACCGCCTATGTGCGGGTGACCGAGGGACGGATATTCTAATCCGAACAGCAAACATATGTCAGACAATTTTTTCTTGCATATTCTACCATATATTTCATTATATTTTAAATTCTTTATCTTCATTTTCAATTTTTATCATTACAACCGTAACTAGTTTCTTACAACAGCGTACGATTCGTAACGGTAAAATGACGTCATCCTAAGCGTGCCATTGTACAGCACGCGACTCATCTGGCAGCCCCCATGCCAGATGAAATTTCCGGCATGGGTAAAACTCACAGAAACTCCAGTCTGATATGCAAAAAGAATATCAAGCATGGCCTCAGTATTTATCCGTGCAAGCTCATCTAATGAAATGGCAAAATCGTGTTTTAGCGGGTGTATTTCCGTGGGTTTATATCAATTGATTAATAATAATGTGTTAAAGAGATAGAATTATATATATCACCATGAATACCATGAATAATTCAATCAGTATGTGATTTAGGTATCATTGAATAAAAATGTAAATTTGAGTAGATTAAGTAGAGATTAGGTTCAGCAATCCAAAATTATATGATTTATTTGCTATTTTTATCATAATTATCTTCCTATATACAATATACGATATATATTTCATAGTTGCAAAGTCTCAGATGTTTTACAAACAATTATTAAAATTGATCATATGCATATGATATTTTGAAATGTAATCTGGATTACTTCAGATTTAGTAAAATCACAAATCTGTCACATTCAGAAATGTCAGTATAATTGGGTAATGATATAAATGACGTAACCAAGAGAAGGATGCGAGTGGTGTTATAATTTGTATGCATGTAGACAAACGTAGATATTCTACAAAAGTCTTCCTAGACAAAGATCATGATACTACAACCCTACGCCAGAGTGGCTCAAACAAGCTAAAACATCTTCCCTAACGAGATAATATTATCATATATTAAACTATTTACCAAATATCATATAGAGAATCATTTACAAACAAATGATAGCCTCAGTGCAGTAGTCTTCGTACGTGCAGTAGTCCTCGTACGATTACACTATAAACACCGTTTATTATGTCATACATTAATATTTGAGAAATAAACTAAACATGGGTGTTGACAACTGCTATTTCCTTTTGTTTATTCGTTATTTTCACAAACATCCGGTTTTTCACGTGAGCGTAAAAATGTAAATAAGGAACATTGCTGGCTTGGTCTCCGTACATCGCATGAAAATAAACAACTGGTAAAATCTTATTTTACTTAAAATATTTATAGAATTTATATTAAAAGGTAAAAAAATATTTATAAAAGTAAATCTACCAGAATTTTCATTTGTTTGTAAACAAACAATTATTTTTAGACTGGGATTCCCAGTGTTGCAGACGAGGTAAACAAAGATGCAGTGAATAGCTTCTTCTGCTTCTTTTTTAAATAGGGTATCAATCCCCTAAATTTTATCATGATGCTAATTTCCTATTTTTTTTTAATATGAAAGTTTATACAAGTGACTAAATAAAGAGTAAAGATCACTTAAATAAAACTATCATTGATAATTACAGTGTTAAAAAAGTACATTTTTTTATTTTGTATGACAAATTGCTGATTTAAATCAAACAAATTATTCAGTTGTAAATATTGCAATTAAAGTGCAAAATAATTCCCTAGAAATATTTGTTTATACATTGTTTATCATTTAACAGATTATAACTGTTCATTGAAGACATGGGGCCTAAAAAATACACTCAAGATGAATTTGCTAAAGCCTTAAGACAAATTAGAAATGGATGCTCAATTTCAAGTGTTTCTAAATCAACTGGGATCCCGAAGCAAACTTTATATGATCATTCAAAAGGCAAATACAAGAACAAAATCACACAGATGGGTCCAGATAGAGCATTGACTGAAAGTGAAGAGAAAGCCTTAGTAAACTATTCTTTGTATATGTCTGACAGGGGCTATCCCTTGACTAGAAGTATGATTAGAGCTTTTACAAGGGCAATTATCAAAAAGTCTGGCAGAGATACTAAAATTAACATGCTTAATGGTCCTTCCCATGAATGGATAAGAAAATTTCTTAAAAGACATCCAGAATTGTCAGAAAAGCACCCTGATGTTTTAGACAGAGATAGGGCACATGTTACAAATAAAGAAATTACTGAATACTTTAATCTGTTAGATAAAGTTCTTACATCAAAAAATCTTCATGATAAGCCACAATGCATATTCAATTGTGATGAAAGTGGTTTCAGTGCTAGAGAAAAATTTAGAGGCAAAGTTATCAGTCGAAAAGGCAAGCACTCATACCAGCAAGTAGTTAAATTCACAGGTCATACTACAGTTCATCTGGCAATATCTGCTGCAGGTAAAGTCATTCCACCTTGCATTATATATGAGAAAACACTGCCACGTAATTGCGACTTTGCTCCCAAAGAATACCGACTATCTGCAACTCAAAATGGTTACATCAACATGAAATTGTTCTTTGAGTGGTTCCGTGACATATTTGTACCCAACTGTGGGTCTCAACGTCCAGTTCTTCTAACTATGGACAATCATGCCTCACACTTTTGCCCTGATTTGGTAGATCTTGCTATTGAGGAAGGTATTGAACTTTTGTTTTTGCCTCCTCATGCTACTCACTTGCTACAACCTCTGGATAAAGGTTTCTTTCATCTTCTGAAACAGAAGATGACAGAATCAGCTTTGTCAGTTGGCTATGCTGGGGCCCGTGTAGTGCCAAGAGATAAATTTGCAAGTCTTCTTTACCATGGGATTAACCGCATTTCACCTCATGATATCATGTCAGCATTTCACAAGACTGGCATGTTCCCATTGAATCCAACTCAGGTGTCAAACCCTATTGAAATTGCAATGAACATTTCTAGTAGTGGTGAAAATCCATTGGAAGAAGATGAATCTTGTCAAGAATGTGGAGGACATTCTGTTACAAACCGTCTTGTAAAATTAGGTATTGTCCCTGCAGATTTGGCACATATCCTTGTTGAACCTCCACTTGTCAAACCTAAACAAAAAAGAAAAAGAATTGAAGGTGCAAGGTGGATCACAGTTGCAGACCTGAATTCATCCGAATCTCAGAGTGCCTCAACATCCTCAGCAACAGCTGAAATACATATGGAGACAAACTCAGATTGTGATTACGTTGATGATGGTATTGACTGTTCAATATGCAAATTAAGGGACAGGGGCTTTTGGGTAGGATGTGACAACATCATATGTGAAAGGTGGTTCCACTATGAATGTTTACCAAGTAGTCAACAAACTCTTTTTGACTTGAGTCTGGTTACAAAGGATGAGTGGCTTTGTGAAATGTGTCAGGAAGAATAAATCATATTAAAACACAACAAAACAATAAAAGCAAACACAGTGACTTGTTTGATTGTTTTATTCATTGACAGAAATATAAACTGTAAAAACTTTGTTCCAGTATTCACAATATTCATTTTGTCTAACAATTATATACATGCAGTTACAATATTTACTAACCTTGTTTGTATTGTTAAGCATTTCCACAGAAGGAAAAAAATTAGTGTTCTGTACTTTAAGAATTTGAGTGAAACTATTCACTACTTGTTGTTGTTGTCTTAATACCCAAAAATAGAAAGAAAATGATGCACACACTATTTGAATTTGAGATATTTAATCAGTTTAGGTATATATGAAGTGATTTCAGTTTAGTTTGTGAAAATTATACAGTTAAATGAGATAAAAACCAGGTGTACGAGGACTACTTCACTTGGGACTAAAATAGTGTGCAGTGAGTACACTTGTAATTAAGTGTCCTATAAAACGGATGCATCTATGGAAACGGTTATGTTTTGTTTCAAAAGTTAAGGGATTATCTAATGTTGATTTTAAAAAGGTAAGTTCCCTTTCATGTTTTCCTGTATATTTTTTACCATGTCATTTCTAATAAATTTGTCCGAGGACTACTGCACTGGGGCTATACAGACATGATGTTGATGACTTTGCCCTATAATGCTGTAATTACTTATTAAATCCAAATATTTTTTAAATTGTATGCAAACATTTAAGATTGTACCAGGTGTAAGGACATTAAAGTGTAAATTATGTAGCATAATGATACAGTATGATAATCCATTAAACAGCGTCTGTTTTTGTTTAATTTACACAAAGTAGCAATGCATCAAAGGTCATAATATGATATCAAAATTTAATGGGATGGATGTCTGCAAATATTCAAAGAAGATGTCTGTTACACATCAAAGGCGTGAAGGAACAATGTGCTGCTCTGTATTAATGATCCAAAACTCTGCTTGAATGACGTAAAAGATTGCTAAATATGCTTGATGTTTCCGTTATTATTCGTAACGTTTTCCAGTATATAATTTTAGATTGACGATTTTTAGATGACCCGCCTATTGGTGAAGAATAAAATCCAAGCTTAGATAATTGAGGACAATAAAGCTATTGAACAAGAACAAATATAAACAAATTTATACCAAAACATCAAGAATACGAGTTACAATTTAAATGTTTTCAAGAATTAAATTCATTTTGTACAATATATAAAATATACTCAATATCTATTACCAGCATTAACGAATAAGTACGTGATCTTACTTACTTTTACTGTATTCATTCTCATGGAAGTCTATTATTGTGTTTACAAAACAACACCAATCAAAACAAACTGTAGATAGGATAATATCGATATGTAAAGAAAAGCAAGTTATAGTATTATATGATCTAAATATAGCTGCAATTCCATTGGTCCAAACAGTAGTCAACATAATTTTTTATAGAATCATATTCAGTGGGTGAATAGCTAAATAAGATTTTCTCAGTCTAAAAATAGATTGAGACTCACATTCATTGATCATATATCCTAGACTGATAATAACGTGTGATTATTAAAAAAATAATTGTTGCGTTTAGTTCGTGTTCTTTATGATATTTTTCTCGATTAAAAGTTCATTACTTTACTTATAGTTAAATGTTACGCATAAACTTGAGTTACTTTTGTATGCGCAGCGTTCGCGTAGTTGTTGCACGCCTTCTTCGTGCGTCTTTTTCCCCGGCTTCAGCTTAAATAAGATGTGATATTCACCGGCAGAAAGTCATATTGACCCGAGGCGATGATATGTCATCTGCCGGTGAATATTATACAAATATGGACTTTTTAGCTGTTGAATATGATGTGATATGTACTGAAATAAGCCGAGGTCAATATTAATTTTTCAGTACATATCACATCATGTTCAACAGCTAAAAAGTCCATATCTGTTTTATTATATAATTTATAAATAGCTTTTATATGGCTTATCACATCTGCCATTGCATACGACGGAAGCTTGCCTAGTGTTTCCATAATTTGGCCCTTTCCATTGGTATACTTATCCCTATTGTTCTTAAAAATGAAAAACGGTTACTAAAATAGACTAATTTGACTCTTATGTACACCTAACTCAACGTTTTTTCAGAAAAATAACATCAAACTTGGCGCTACATCATGTCAAAGTCACGCATCTTTTAGGGATTTCCAGAAAATCTATTTTTAGAAGAAAAACCGGTGAATATACTCTGAAAATCTATTTTTAGAAAAAAAAACAGTGAATATACTCAGATATTGACCTGTTATTTTTTACAAAAAGTTGCTTGTTAGCCAATCAGGGAAATGCATTTCAAAGCTATTTATAGATTATATAATAACACATTATATTCAATTGCACACCAGTCAATAATGGAATAATGCATAACATATAGAATAATGATACAAAAATATTCTGGTGGAATAGTTTCTGTAAAATGATAATAGTGTTTGACTGATTTCATTAGTATTATTGTTTAAGACAAGTCCATAATATAATAGCAAGCTTTAAACAAATATCGATAATTAAAGATTTGAAATTAATCTTCTCATTCTGTTTTACCATGTAATAAAACTATATGATGTATTTTACTAATATGAAATAATCAAACATCTATATTGAGCACACAGTTTTATTGCGATCATCATATTAAAATTCCTGTGTTACAGACAAATTTATTTTAGAATATTATGAAAACACGAAAACCAATCAAGAAAGCACAGACTGTGCTATTTTAGTTATGATCATAAAATCTGAATGATTGGCGTGTTGCATGTTTAAGATGTTAAAGATATAACAATGAAATAAATGATGTTGTAAAATATGCTTAATATGCCAGCTAGACACATGCTAACAGAATAGTTTGTTCAAAACAATGAATATTAGGAAATTGTGCTGGCATTCAAATATTATATTGATCACTACATTCAAGTTTATTGTTTTCTAAAGCATAACCATTTTAGGGCTATACTAAAGTGGACTCGTCTACAAAGTAGTATTTGTGTATTTTACTTTCCACAGTTATTTCAGATATTGATCAAAGCAACAGAAATCATCAAATGTATGATTTATTTATTAAATTGTCAATAAAGTGATCGTGAATGAATATTTATATGATGAAAATATTAATATTATTTTGCAACAGAATATTTGTTTTTATAAATATATGAAATATCACATAATGTATCACATTCTTGGTAACAACTTAAACGTATAATTATTTCGCAGTTGGTTATTGTGTATAATACTACTTCCTATCTGAGTAATTATTCATTGTATTACAGACATTCCATTACAGACCAATTCACTTTAATGTAAAATTTCTTTTTGTACTTTACAGAAATTAGAATCGAGTTTTAAGATTTGTATATGTGCATTTTGCAAACAAAGGTAACACTTATATTATATAATGCCATTCTTAAAACTCTAATATCGTACTTGTGTACTGTAGTTCACATTCAATTGAATGAAACAAACAATGTATTTTATTAATCATTCATGATATCCATAACTGATAATGTTTCATTGTCATTTACACATTTGTTATATCATGTAAATTAATCATGGTGTTGTTATTATCAATAAGTAAACGCGAAACGTGATATATAAGGTTTCAATGTTGCAAACATAGTGGGCGGGAATGAGAATTATTTACACTATATATATATTTATAACAAAAAAAAGTTGTGTTTTTGTAGCCCAAATTTTTTTTTAACTTTTGTAAAATTTCAATAAGTTGTTACCCTTTATATTATCGTAGACTTTAATAGTTTGCTGTCTATGCATTACATAATGCTTATTGTCATAAACTATAGAGGCGTATACGCTATATCAGCAAAAAAAACCACAAAAAAACAGCAACAAAAAACAAACGCATAAAATATTAAATCAATGTTGTTGTAGCTAAGACTCAAAACGGTTCACTGTAATTGAGCTTAAGACACTGTAAATGAGCTTAAGATTTTGTTTGGTGATTTAGATATCCACTGAAGTGTTGTTTGTGTCACGACTGGACTGGACAAAATAGTTTTTGTCAGATTAAGGTGCTTTTTAATGTAGGTCAGGACAAATAACTTGTTCGCAAACTTTTCGATCAATATTCTCACTCCATTTTTCAAGAATAATTCTATATGTGAAAAATGACCTAAAACTAAAAATCGTTGCAACGTTTTTTACCCACTCAAATCGGGATACGAATTTATTTCTTAATAAATTTCTGCATATCTTTCCGTTTTTAAGTGTAAAAGCTGGTGTACATATGTTATTTAATTTATATGATTTTAGAATTTTGGACCTCACTGGAGTTACAATGTAGTGCCTATTTCAGTTTCATATACGAAATATGTATGTATACACTTATGTATTTATTCGAAATATCGATGTTGCACATCATAAAAACAATAAATCAAATTGTTGTACAAAAATATAATAACAAATTGGCATTTTGGAGGTCAAAATTTTCTTCGACTGTACAGTTCTAATCCATATTTACATCAATGTAGGGATACAACTCTATAAAAGGCACCTAAGTTACACCCTTGGGAAATTACTTTAATTAGGGAAATATCCATTATAACGATATATGGTAATGAAACCTTCTATATATAAAATATTTTGTATCAAGATGTTTGAACTAATCCTCTCAAAATTTATAAAATATTATAATTACTTTCCTATATTTTGTTAAAGCTTTTGAAAAGTTAAAAGAATACTGTAATTTTGTCTACATAATTAGATTGCTAATGGTATGCAATTGCTTCCCGAGTAGATTTCTTTTAATATTACCGAGTATTTATGATGATGATATGATCGTCAATATATCCTTTAGATGTGGTCAAGAAATTTGAGAGATTTATCTTAATTATTTAAATGACTGTCATTAATGCTAAAAGCTGGTCATTACCGGTCATCGCATTACAACGCCTTTCATGGTAATAAAAAACTCGCATTAAAAAGTGAAAATTTGTGTAGGGGACATGAAAGAAGCATCGTTATATTCAAAATTTCGCTGTAACCGATATCGTTACAATTGGAGTATAAATATATGAAATAAAGTACTGAAGTACGACAGGTGTTATTGCCAAAAACACTTGGCTAATCTGTGTGGTCAATGAGTAACATTTTGGAAACTGTTAAAAGATTCCAAATAATAAAAGGCCTTTAATTTGATTTAAGTAACGGGTTAAATGTATATATCATTATGGAACAGTTGTCATCCGTGTGCCGTACGTGAATATAACTATAGGGTGGCGGCGTGGTCTAGTGGTTAAGAAGTCGCAGTAGTTATCAGACAATTGCTGGCTACGTGAGTTCAAACCCAGTCAGAGGCATAGGGCAGAGCCGTTGATGTCATGAGCAAATAAATTTTGAACTCATCGTTAAGTACCGGTTGTTCTCAGGAACAGATTAGGTAGTGTTTTAAAAACCGAATAGTTTCCAACACATTCGAACTAAAACAAGTTTGTATAAACTAATGCGCACATAACACATTTTGATCATTTAGGTAATAAACTTTTATTTTTAAAGAAACAAGAAAATTTAGTTTAAATTGTATTGACATGTATATATCGAGATTATATTTTGATTTCATAAGATCAAACGTATCTTGTT